GAGGAAAGAAGTGGAACTTACTGAGGGAGCTCAACCCAACAGCCTTCCCCATCAAGGGCACTAAGCACCCCTAATCTGCCTGGTGCTCACCTAAGTGGGTTCCTGGGAAGATCCCTCTCTCAGTGACACACAGCTCTTCTCTTTGCTCCAAATGGGAAAATGTACTGGCTTTGCAGAGTTGATCTCCTGCTCATGGGAAAAGATGCAGGGTATGAGCAACTACCCAGGTATGAGCCGATATTCTGAAGTCTTTAGGGTCACTGGAGATAGGAATAGCAAAATGGGCGCACCTATATCCTGATGGCACGGCCGAGCTCTTTCACTAAGGAACCAAAGTACAAGCTCCCTCATTGGGTCCCGAAGGACAGTGGGACTCTCCAGTCCCCAAAACCCGGTGCCTGGCTCAGGGACACACTTGAGAAGACCAGAAACAATGGACAGATCTTCATTTCCAAGAAGAAAGCACTAGACTATAAGCACAATGAAGGCAGAACCTTCCTGCCTCTTCACCTCTCGATTTCCGAAACCAGCACAGTTACGGGAAACCACAGTAGCTGCGCAAATGTGTGGATGAAGCAGCGAGGCCAGCCTTACCCACAGAGGCCAGGTTCCTATAGTTCTCCAGCATCACGTCTCTGTACAGGCTTCTCTGAGCAGAGTCTAGAAACAGCCACTCTTCCGGTGTGAACAGCACGGCCACGTCCGCAAAGGTGACTGGTTCCTAAAATGCACACCCGTCCCTGCTCAGCCAGGGGCCACCCCAACCAATACTCAAGAGGACAGTGTGGGGCTTGCAGGCCTGGGAAAGGGACACTTCCATGTAGAGGATGTTCAGACACAGTTCTGAGGTCTCTCTGCTCAGGCCTCGGAACTAGAACTCTTCTCCATCTACTCTTCCCTCCCTAAATGACAGCATCCCAAGGGGTGGCAGAAAAGGACCTCAACTTCATGACAGGACTTAGTTATTAACAACTAGCTGGGAAGCCCTTCCCCTCTAGCCCCAGGGTCCAGCAGACCTGATCGTGTTACAGGCAAGAGAAAAATGTTTGGTAAATGACAACTGTTTGCTCTTGGGAGACCATGATGACTATAAGACAAGGACAGCTCACGTCCTCGCCCTGCTTTCCCTCCTGACATTCAGCTGAACATGGCCCTTGATAACCAGGGCAAGGCCTGAATGAGGGAGTGGGGTCACTGCCCACCCACCACTAGAGGCCCAGTGCCTGGAAGCCTGGAGACCAGTCCTCTGGGGTCAAGAAACTCCCAGACAGGGGAAGGGGACAAGGAGGCAAAGCAAGAAGAACAAGTATTTGTTGCTTACCTGCAGACAAGTGTTCAGTGTCCCAGGAGCCACGGCTTCTTCCTCTGTGCTCTCCTCCCGGAGCCAGGTGGGGTCCTGAGCAGGCACTGCTGCAGGAGAAGAGGGGAGCCGTTAGGGTCTGGGCCTGGCCCAGTGACCCCACTTGCAGGGCCAAGGGCTGCCCACCCTGTGAATGACCGCATGTGCACACACATATGCACACACTCCCAGGGACACACACATGTAATGTACACAGAGAGATGCATGCACATATGCTTGCACACACTCCCAGCTGCTTGGGCACACATGTACACTCACACACATCAGTACACACACATGCATACATTCACACAAATGTTTACATACACACAGACACACCACGCATACACAGTATGCGCATACCCACACTGACAAGCACACACACAAACACACAGAAATATACAGACATACACACAGACACACACGCATGCACACAAGCATACACGCACACACACGTTTCCTCTGTTCCAAATCTCTGGAGCCACAGTCTCAATTCACCAACAGACTCTGAAGTTTCTGGGGCACCCCTTTCTCCCCCTTGATTCAGCCCTGGGTCAGCTGTTCTGCCTTAGCTGTTGGGCCCCTTCCTCTGCCCCAACTCTGCAGGGCCAATAGCACCCCAGGACTTACCACAAGTAGGGGACAGAGAAACCGCCACCTCCCTGTGAGTGTGCCTGAGAAGGAAGCATCCTTCCTTTCCTGCCTTCAAATCAACGTCCTCACCCGTACCAGGCCTCCTCACTCTGGCCTGTTACAGAGGAGCAAGGGATTCCCCAGCCAACCCTTGTCTCCCTGCACCCTCACCTCCCCTCTCAATGGGACCTTTCCCCTTGGTAATTAAACCTGAATCACATCCAATCCCTGACCCCATGTCATTAGTTTCCCAGGGCTGCTGTAAAAAAATACCACAATTGGCTGGCTTAAAGCAACAGAAATGTATTCTCTCAGAGTTCTGGAGGCCAGAAGCCCAATATCAAGGTGTGGGCAGGGTCACACTCTCTCTGAAACTCTGGGTAGAGTCCTTCCTTGCCTCTTCTTGGCTTCTGGTGGTGAAGGTCAATCCTGGGCTTGTAACTGCGTGTCCCTCCAATCTCTGCCTCTGTCATCACATGGCTGTCCTCCCCCCTGTGTGTCCCTGTCTTCACATGGCATTTTCCCCTTCTTATGAGGGCACCATTCATACTAGATTAGGGCCCACCATCATGACCTCATCTTAACTTGATGGCATTTACAAAGACCCTATTTCCAAATAAGGTCACATTCACAGGTACTGAGGGTTAGGCCTTCAATATAGCTTTTTTGGGGGTGGTCACAATTCAAGCTGTAATACTCCACACTTCCCTCTAGCTACTGTTCTATCTCTCTGTTCCCCATCGTGGGCAATCTCTGTATCCATTTTCTCACCTCCTACTCACTTCCCAACATCACCATTCCAAGGACCAGCACCTCACTAGGATCACCTGTGACCTCCATCCAGAGTGGGGATCTACTTGACATGTTCAGTCATCCAATCCCTCCATCTTAAAACCCACCCCCCTGGGCTTCAGTGCCCACCCCCACCCTGCAGCCTCCCTCCCGGTTTCCTGTATAGGCTCCTTCTCCATCACTTGCTGGTGTCCCCAAGGTGCACACCTTCCTCTTCTCACCTTGTAGTCTCCGCCTCGGAAGGCACCGTCCCCGGCTCTGGGCGTCAATTCCCAACTACCTGACAAGGCCCAAATCTCCAGGCTGACTCTCACATCTGCACTCCAGACCCATATACCCAACCATTGGCTCCGACATCTCCACTCATCTACCTGGGGGAATACGAATGAAACATCCAAAATGAGCTAGAGCAGGGGGCTGTTGCCCCAGCAGGCGGAGGACAGAGATTCAAGCCACAGAGGATCATTCTCAGGCTTTGAACTTGCCCTGCTGGGTTTCAAACTTACGAGAGACCCGGGACCCTTGTTTCCTCTCCGTTTGGGAACGGGAATGTCTATGCCTGCCCCACCATTGCATTTTGGAAGCAGAGAACCTGTTTTCTGGTTCTACCAATTTACAGATGGAGAGGAATTATGCCCCCAGGATGGATCACACCCCCAGTCTCACCATACCTGATTTAGATTATTTATATGACAAGATTTGGGACATTTTGAGTCAATATCTGGATGAGACTTTAGACAGAGTTGATGCTGGAATGGGTAAAAACTTTGGGGATGTTGGGATCATGTGACTGTATTTTGCATGTAAAGAGGATATGAATTTGGGGGGCCCAGAGAGAAGACTGTTATGAGTTGAACTGTGTCCCCCCAAAAAATAACAAGTCCTAACCCCCAGTACCTCAGAATATGACCTTACTTGGAAATAGGGTTTTTGCAGATGTTAAGATAAAGTTATGGTGGAGTAGAGGGCCCTTAATCCGATACAAATGGTGTCCTTATAAGAGAAGAGATACCGAATGAGGGGAGAAAGCCACGTGGCAAGGCAGGCAGAGATGGGAGCGATGCATCCACAAGCCAAGGAATACCGAGGCTTACAGCAACCGCCAGAAGCTAGGAAGAGGCAAGAAAGATTATTTCCCTGCAGGTTTCACAGGAAGTATGGCCTTGCCAACACCTTGATTTCAGACTTCTGACCTCAGAACTGTGAGACAGAAATTTGTTGTTTCATCCACTCCATCCAAAAAAAAAAAAAAAAATGCACTTATCACCTCTTCTTCTCAAAGCCTGTCCTTCTTCCAATGTCCCTGATCTCAGATGAGCAAAATCCCACCTGCTCTGACCCCAACAATCAGTCAAAAAAAAAAAAAAAAAATCAGTGATGACATTTCTACACCCACCTCCACCCACCCCATTCCCCTTCCTCCCACCCTGTCCCTGCTATGGGGAACGCCTATATCATGCCTTCTCATTTGGACCCACTTAAATGTCACTCCTTCAGAGAGTCTCTCCTCCCCAATACCCTTCTTTTCTCTAAAAAGACCCTCTCCTTTCTTCACAGCCCTTACCTATCTATAACCAGCTACTTTTTTTTTTTTTTTTTGCTTCCTTAGGTGATTATCTTCCGTCTCCCCCAATGGACTGGCAGCTTCAGAAGAACAAGCCTGGGGTCCTTTTCCTTTCGCTACACCCTCACCCCCCAACCGTGCTTGGCATATAAAAATGCCCTGGGGAGGGGGAAGGGTAAGCTGTGACAAAGCGAGAGAGTGTCATGGACATATATACACTACCAAACATAAAACAGATAGCTAGTGGGAAGCAGCCGCATAGCACAGGGAGATCAGATTGGTGCTTTGTGACCACCTAGAGGGGTGGGAGGGAGGGAGACGCAAGAGGGAAGAGATATGGGAACATATGTATATGTATAACTGATTCACTTTGTTATAAAGCAGAAACTAACACACCACTGTAAAGCAATTATACTCCAATAAAGATGTAAAAAAAAAAAAAATGCCCTGGAATGTCTGGTAAACGAATGCACACATGACTCACCAAACCATCTCAAATCGACCTCCTGTGTACATCTTACATGGATCCTAGCTTACCTGCTGTGCAGACAAGAGTTAACACAGCAGGCCTGACTGCTCTCCTCAGCAAGGCCTGCCAGCAAGGTTGACCTTTAGCTGGCCTCTGGGAACTTGGATTTCGAGAGGGTTCCCACCACCCTAACTGATAAGAGGGGTTCACTCTCTGCTTAAACTGTTTGTACAAACAGTGCGGTTTATGCTGAATGCCTGTTTTCCTTCTGGAAGTCTGGAATTTAGGTATGTGCTGGGAAGAGGGTGCCTACATGACCAGCCCCCAGGGAAAACCCTGGGCTCTGAGTCTCTAATGAACTTCCCTGTAGATAATACTGCACATGTGTTGTCACAGCTTGTTGCTGGAGGAATTAAGCGTGTCCCATGCGACTCCCTTGGGAGAGGACTCCAGAAACTTGTGCCTGAATTCCTCCAGACTTCACCCCATGAGGCTTTTCCCTTTGCTGATTTTGCTTTGCACCCCTTCAATGGAATAAATCATAGCCATGAGTACAACTGTAAGCTAAGTCCTGAGTCCTCCTAGCAAATCGTCAAACGGGGGAGTGGTCTTAGGGACCCCTGACACACCTACTCCACACTCACCCCCAAGTCTAGGCCACCACCATCCCTTTCCTAACTGCCTCCACCCACCACTCATATCCTCCCGAGGCCCATCCTCCTCCGAGGTGCTGAAAGACCAGGCTCTTCTTCCCCAGTGCCCAGTGGATTTTACAGACACCATTCCTAGGCCTGAACTCCTCTCCCCAAACCTCCAAACAGACCAACATCTAAACGATACAGTAATTATTATGGTCTTAAGCCACCCCTGTCCCCAGAGGTCAGGTGGCAGTGTCTAGTATCTTAGCTCGGGCGGCTGTAACAAAATACCACAGACTGGGTGGCTTAAACAACAGAAATTTATTTTCTCACAGTTCTGGAGGCTGGAAGTCTGAGTTCAGGGTGCCAGCATGGTCCGGCTCTGGTGAGAATGCTCTTCCTGGCTAGCAGACATCTGCCTTCTCATCGTGTCCTCACATAGTGGAGAACTCTGCTTTTTCTCTTCCTGTTCTTATAAGGACACCAGTTCTATGGGATCAGGGCTCCACCCTTAAGACCTCATTTAACCCTAACAACCTCCTTAAAGGCCCTGTCTCCAATACAGCCACATGGGAGGTTACAGCATCAACATATGCATCAGAGGGGGACAATACATAGCACCTGAAGACGTCTTTGATCGTCATGACTAGGGTGTTATGGGCTGAATTGTGTCCCTCCAAAGATTCATATGTTGAAGTTCTAACCCCTAGAATCTCAGAATATAACTGTATTTGGACATAGGGTCTTTTCAGAGGTCATTAAATTAAAATGAGGTCAGTAGGGTGGGTCCTAATCCAATGTAATTGGTGGAAATTTGGACACGGACACATACAGAGGGAAAATGCAGGAAGAAGACGGACATCAACAAGCCAAAGAACAGATCACGGCCCTCAGGAGAAATCATCCCTGCCAGCATCTTGATCTTGGACCTCTGTCCTCCAAAACTGTGAGAAAACAAAGTTCTGTTGTTTAAGCCACCCAGCCTGTGGTACTTTGTTATGGGAGCCCTAGCAAACTAATACAGGGGGAGGTGGTACTGCCAGCTAGTGAGTGGTGGCCAGGGATGCTGCTAAACATCCTACAACATGCAGGACGGCCCCCACCACAGAGATCCAGCCCCTGTATCAGGAGTGCTGCAGTTGAGAAACTTGGTCTAAACTTAAATTTCCCAGAGCTCCTCTCTGCCCCCTAAGATAAAGCCCTCCTGTTATATGCTTCTATTGCATTCCAGTCTCCATTTAAAAATCTGACCACCAAGCCAGACTGTGAACTCCATGGGGGAGGGCCTCAGGGTTTGGTCTGCAACTGTTTCCCAGTGCCCATCTCCCTGCAGGATGACAGCAGTGAGTACTTCAAGAGTACCTTCCAGAGTACTTCAAAAGCACAGAGCACACCAAGCACTTCAGCAGTACTTTATGGCACAGATGGCCAAAAAGCACATGAAAAGATGCTCAACATCACTAATCATTAGAGAAATGCAAATCAAAACTACAATGAGGTATCACTTCACACAGGTCAGAATGGCCATCATTAAAAAGTCTACAAACGATAAACGCTGGAAAGGGTGTGGAGAAAAGGGAACCCTCCTACACTGCTGGTGGGAATGTAAATTGGTACAGCCACTATGGAGAACAGTATGGAGGTTCCTTAAAAAGCTAAAAATAGAGCTACCATATGATCCTGCAATCCTGCTCCTGGGCATATACCCAAAGAAAACTATAATTTGAAAAGATACATGCACCCCAATGTTCACTGCAGCATTATTTACAATAGCCAGGACATGGAACCAGCCTAAATATCCATCGACAGAGGAATGGATAAAGAAGATGTGGTATATATATACAATGGAATATTACTCGGCCATAAAAAAGAATGAAATAATGCCATTTGCAGCAACATGGATGGACCTAGAGGTTGTCATACTGAGTGAAGTAAGTCAGACAGAGAAGGACAAACATCATATGATAACACTTATATGTGGAATCTAAAAAAATGGTACAAATGAAGTTATTGACAAAACAGAAATAGAGTCACAGATGTAGAAAACAATCTTATGGTTACCAGGAGGGAAAGGGGGGGAGGGATAAATTGGGAGACTGGGATTGACATATACACACTACTATATATAAAACAAATAACTAATAAGGACCTACTGTATAGCACAGGGAACTCTATTCAATACTCTGTAATGACCTATAAGAGAAAAGAATCTAAAAAAGAGTGGATATATGGATATATGTAACTGATTCACTTTTCTGTACAGCAGAAAGTAACACAACATTGTAAATCAACTATACTCTAATAAAATTTTTAAAAATAAATAAATAAATAAAACGAGTACATTATGGCAGAGCCTGGCCCAGAAGGTGTACCAAAAATATATAGAACAACAACATATAACCCAAATCTAAGAATTACTTCCTGTCAGTAGCATAATACAGATTCCAAATGCAAGACTGGATGATATGATTAATAAACAAAATTTATTATTCTTACAATATGGCAAGATGGAAGGAAACAAACACCTTGCAGTTCAAGCTACAATGTTATTTGTCCTCCAGAATTAATTTTTTCCCCCACTTCTCAGGAGATGTGGCTTTTAGCCTCATTTCTTAAAAGCTCAGTTCAAACATGTGCCACTTATAGTAAATTCAACTGTGACCTTCAGCATCGACATGCTTGCGCAGTGGAGAATTTAACCGTGCCCCAAAAGAGGTCTGGCCTTTGCCATAGTTGAGTGGGGACTGCTCTTCCATAACAGAAAGATCTGAAAACAAAAAAAAAACAAAAAAAGAATCCCAGCCCACAATGCCTAGAAAGTGCCTTTCCACTTGCATATGTAAATAATGAGCGATTGCTTCATATATTCTCTCCCTATGGCAACGACTGCAGTCAGAGGAAAAGGCGGCGGATGCAAGTTCCCAGACACAACACAGCACAGCGGGGCCCTCTGGCTGTCAATTCCACCCAGCTCTCACTCACCAGAACCCCCAGCCCCCAACAGGTTGAGGAGGCGCAGCGCAGGCTCCGGCGTGGCCACCCTCTGAATCTGCACAGCCACCTTCAGCCCCTGGACAGAGTGACAGGAACATATTAGTCACACAGTCGGTGGGATCCACTCACACCTGCTCACCCAGACTGAACTGGCATGACTGGCCCTGCTTTGGGGAACACACTGAACATACAGGGACAGGCCCTGTTCCCTTGTCCAGGTTTACAATTCTTCAGTATAAAGTTAACCACTGTCGTGGAATTTCAACTCCAAGATGGGATGGAGAGAGGGGGCCTGGGTAAGGGAGGCCTCCTCTGAACAGCCTCCGGTAGTGGGGGAAATGCTGGAGCAAAGAGGGGCAGTGGATGGCCAGCAGATTGAGGGGTAGAGGGAGGATGCAGAGGTGGACCCCTGCAAATGAGGGGACATTAGTAAACTATTCCGGAGGGGAAGCCCTGCTGTGGGAGAAAGGACCTGAACTCTCTACCGCCAGCCACTCCCTTGGGAAGGGTATTTGAACTGACTTGCATTTCTAAGGGATGCCTCTGGCCTCGGTGTCCAGGGTGATGCCCAGTGGCAGCAGGAGCCTGTCAGGAGCAGTTCCCGGGGGTCCAGGAGAAATAACGGTGGCTCTGGGCAGGGTGGTGGCACCAGGAACAGAAGGAGCAGTCAGAGGTAGGTTTATATTTTGGAGGAAAAGTTTGTAGGACTTGGTGGTGGATGGGAAGTGTGGCAGGTCCCTCACAGCAGGTGATGGGCAGGGACAGGTGAGAGGAGGCCCCTCCTCCTCAGCGCGGGGCTCATAGCACACCCTTAAAGTGTCCTTCTCTGTAACTCTGTCCACCTCAGTACCAAAACACAAGGCCCTGAGCCAAGAGCTTGGTTACCAGCCTGGACACTCTTCACACAGCCCTTGGACCACACTCATTCCTGTAGGTTTCCTGGCCATGGACAGGGTGGGAATGAGGGTGGAAGGACTGGACGAAGAAAGGCTGGACCCAGAGAGGCAGGGCCTAAACCCTAGTTGGTAGCCCCTCCCCTAGGACTGCTCTGGGCCTGACATCACACTAGGGATATTTACATTCAACGCAGAAACGCCACGGCATGTCCAGCAGTTCCTACCAGGAGGTAAGCCTGGGCCTCCAGCATGTTCCCTATTCCCCCAACAGTTGGCAGTTGGCCCTAGATTCATCCCTCCCTCCTGCCTCCCCACCTAACAAAACTCCTGAACCCTAGGCTTTCCTGGCTGGGGCTGGGGCCCTCCCAGCAAACCACTTCCCAGGCTTACCATGTCCTCAGAAGACCAAGGTGACTCCTGGAGAGCTGACCGGTCCCCTGGAGTCAGAGGTGTCCCCCTCTCTCCCATCATGGGCTTGATCTGCATCCTCAGGTCCAGCCCCAGCCCCTGGGAAAAGCCATGGAGGGTGCTGAGGACAGAGGAGGTATGGAGGCTGTTCTCACCCTCAGGGACCCTAAGTTTGGGGCTAGTGCCATCAGAATTTGGGGAACATGGGCCTGGTAGTTTCAGACCTCATGACTCCCCCTGTTGCACTGTGGGCCCCTGCCACCAACGAGGACTGATCATGCCAGAGACTTGGAGACAGACCTGACCCCTTTCTGGCTCTGGAGAGGCCCTGTCTGGAGGTTAGGCCACAAGCCCTTGGAGGCGCTACAAGATATTTTACTAGAAAGGTTTCTATAGAAAGGCTGGGAGCCCTTGGCTCTGAATATGAACTTCATTCTATGTTTTCTTAGATTCCATATTTGTCTACCTGGCATCCATCAATCACAGGGCCAAACTAATGGCCACAGTTGTTTACATCTCCCCTATGATCCACAGCTCGTACTCCGAACCACCTCCTTTATCTAGTTCTCACACACCAAGCCAACATTCCCCCTGCCCTAAATCACCAAGGCCAGTACCAGACAACTGGGGACAGCCCCTGTGCCTCAAGATCCCCCAGAATTATTACTCAAACTCACCAATCCTAAGCTGTTTACCCTGCCCTGCCCTGCCTTGCCTACAGAAAACCAGTAAAGGCTCTGGCCTAGAGTCTCCCCTCACTCCTGTCAGCCTCCTGACTGGTGCTGGTGCTTCCTCGTGTGGCCCTGTGTGGCGTGGCCAGCCCCCTCCTCTCAAGAAATGTAAGTCACTGTCACTGGCCTCTCCATGTCATCACTCAGTCACCTCCGTAAACTGAAATCCTGGGGGTACCATTTTGAGACAAATGTTTTAATCAGAATAATTCTGACACAGATCACTCTTCTTGAAGGTTTTTAGGAGTTCCACCTATTTGCTCAACACGTACTTATTGAGCACTGCTAGTACAGGCACTGTGGATCCAGCAGAAAACAAAAGAGGTGAAACCACAGCCTTGAGGAGCTGGGTGTTGTGCAGGAGAGGTGGCGTGGGTGGCCCTGGGACAGTAGGAAGGCTGAGCCTGGAGATGCCCATTCTTTGGGGCTACAGGGTCTTGGTCTGTCCCTGGCCACCAGCACTTATTCACACGTGACCTCAGAGCTGCGACAAGGCTCAGTGACACCCACATGGCCTAGAAGGGATAACCAAAGGTTCAGCCACATGGACCAAGTATCAGGATGTGCGATCCTCAAGCGGAAGACCCTGGTGGCTAAGGCGGCGGTCTCTAGAGACAGGCCTGGATTTGACTCCCGGCCTCACATATGCTGGACCACTTCGGGGCATATTCAGGGATGAAGTGCTTGATTCCTCTACACAGAAGGAACTGTAGTGGGATTCCTCTATATAGAAGAAAGTGGACCACTTATGCCCACTCAGAACATTCTCTGCCTGCCTGTTTCCAGATGCAGCAGAAGCCCCTCCTCTCCCACACTCAGTACTCACTACTGAGCTGGCAGTGAAGTTCTGTGGAAAGTGCTGGAACCCGAACTGAGAGGAAAGAGCCCACAGAAACCACAGAGGACACCCGTCCCTCATGGCCCTTCCTCCCTCACACGTTCCATCTGCTGATTGAGGCATGGTGCTGGTAGGGGCCTGGAGCCATCTATACCAGCATCCATCTGTTCACTCCTTCATTCAACAGGCATCAATCGAGAGCTCTATAATGGCACACAGAACACTCTATAATGGGGTTACTGCAACAACATCAGATGAGGCCCCTTGGATCCAGCAGCTCCAGTAAGACATTTGCCGATCTTAAGATCTCAAAAGCCAGCGCCCTTTCCCAAGCAGCTAGTGGAGGACGTTCTCTTCTGAAACAAGAGCGTAAACCAAGGACAAGGAGGATCTGGGCACTAAGGAGAGGGCTCGGCTGCCCTGGGGTCTGATGCCAGCCATGCGGGGGCGAGAGTTTCAGCTGCCTGGCAGCCCACTCCTCACGAGGCTGTGCAGGGTTGAGGCTCCGCATGCTCAGGGCACAGGAATGGAAAAGGGGTCTCTACTACCCCGGCCTCAGCACCCCATGTACTGTGCCAGTGTCTCTGACACTCTGAGGCAGACACCATGTGTGACAGAGGTGGAGAGGCACATATTGAGGGAAGCTAGATACCTCACTGGCTGTGGGACAAAGAGGCCCAGGCTGGGAGTGAAGCTGGGCTCTGTATGTCCCTCTATCCAAATCTTAGCCCTAACCCTAAGCTTCAAAACCCCAAGAATGGGAACTCAAACTTGGAGGCTTGGTAGTTTAGGAAGGCAGGAATTCAGGGTCAAAGGGGGGATGGCAGGACTCTGCATTTTCTCATGCACCGTACTGTGCAAGCTGGTTCTGAATGATTTTCCACTCTTTGACAAGGGCTTCCTTCCAGTGTGGGGTCTCAACTTGTCTCCCTAGGGGCGTGGGACCCCTGACAACTTTCCCACATTCTTTACAATCAGAGTGGCCCTCTCCTGCAGGTCCTCTTGTTCAGATCCAAGTTATAGTTCCTCCAGGAGCCTTTCTCACCACGGTTAAATCAGCAGGTGGCTTCTCTCCAGGAGGAGTTTGCTCCTGACAAGCGGTGGATGATGACAAAAAGGTCACCCAGGGATGCTCCTTGTCAGGGGCACATTTTTCAGCATTTTCAAAGGTGTGCCTTGTTCAGACAGGTCGAGTTCTTCCAGGATGTTGCAGGTTCCACCACTAGGCTTTCTCCCATCCTGAACTTACATGGGGCATCTCTAACAGACAGCGTGTTTCTGATCACTGTTGAAGAGTAAATCACACTGATACAATCGATGTCTGACTCTCACTGATGGAAATATGTACTCAGGGGAACTTTCTAAGAAGAAAGAATCTTAAGTGATAGGTGGGATTTGCCCAAATTCATGGGTCATGGATGCTCCCTCCAGACACTTCATGTCCTTGAGGAAAAGCCCTGGCTCAAATATCTGCCTGGCCCTGGTGTGCGTGTCCAACTCACGTATTCCTCAACTTCTTCTATGAGAGGGAGTAAAGAATCATCACCCGTGAATCTTACCGTTTGCAAATCATGGGATGAATTTTCCTCCAAAATATCCTGCAGAGGAGTAGACTCTTTGGGTTGAAGTTGAGATTCCCAGTCTAAAATGAATTGGAAAAAAAAAAATTACCTTCTTTCAGAAAGTAGTAGTGGCATGATATTGACACACACAACATGTTTTGTTTTTTTTCAATATTGACCCTAAACTTGGGTCAGTACTGAAATGGAAGAAGGTATCAGTGAGAAAGTGAGGCTCTAAGAGTAGGAATTGGGCAGTGATGGGAATGAGGTGGAAATGAGACTTTTTTCCCAGCAAAGGAATCCGTGGAGATTGAAAGTGACATTATCAGACAGTGTTATCAGGCAAACAAGTAAGAAGCAATTAGACAAGGAACACACAAAGAAATGTTTGGTTTAAAGAGGAATTGGACGATAATTGTTTGTATGATATGGAGAAATTGGAACCCTCATGCACCGCTGGTGGGAAGGCAAAATAGTGTGACTATTCTAGAAAGCAGTTTGGCAGTTCTTCAAAAAGTTTAAAAAATGACCCAGCAATTCCACACCTAAGTATATACTCAAGAGAAATGAAAACATATCCACACAAAATCTTTTCTTTTAATTTTTGAATTATATTTTATTTTTTTATACAGCAGGTTCTTATTAGTCACCAATTTTACACACATCCGGGTATACATGTCAATCCCAATTGCCCAATTCAGCACACCACCACCACCACCACCCCGTGGCTTTCCCACCTTGGTGTCCATACGTCTGCTCTCTACATCTGTGTCTCAACTTCTGCCCTGCAAACTGGTTCATCTGGACCATTTTTCGAGGTTCCACATACATGCGTTAATATACGATATTTGTTTTTATCTTTCTGACTTACTTCACTCTGTATGACAGTCTCTAGATCCATCCACATCTCAACAAATGACTCAACTTCGTTCCTTTTTATGGCCGAGTAATATTCCATTGTATATATGTACCACATCTTCTTTATCCATTCATCTGTCAATGGGCAATTAGGTTGCTACCATGACCTGGCTATTGTAAATAGTGCTTCAATGAACACTGGGGTGCATGTGTCTTTTTAAATTATGGTTTTCTCTGGGTATATGACCAGTAGTGGGATTGCTGGATCATATAGTAATTCTATTTTTAGTTTTTTAAGGAACCTCCATTCTGTTCTCCACAGTGGCTGTATCAATTTACATTTCCACCAACAGTGCAAGAGGGCTCCCTTTTCTCCACACCCTCTCCAGAATCTGCTGTTCATAGATTTTCTGATGATGCCCATTCTAACTGGTGTGAGGTGATACCTCATTGTAGTTTTGATTTTCATTTCTCTAATGATTAGTGATGTTGCGCAGCTTTTCATGTGCTTCTTGACCATCTGTATGTCCTCTTTGGAGAAATGTCTATTTAGGTCTTCTGCCCGTTTTTGGATTGGGTTTTTTGTTTCTTTAATATTGAGTTGCATAAGCTGTTTATATAGTTTGGAGATTAATCCTTTGCCCGTTGATTTGTTTGCAAATATTTTCTCCCATTCTGAGGGTTGTCTTTTCATCTTCTTTATGGTTTCCTTTGCTGTGCAAAAGCTTTGAAGTCTCATTAGGTCCCCCCATTTGTTTATTTTTGTTTTTATTTCCATTACTCTAGGAGGTGGATCAAAAACGATCTTGCTGTGATTTATGTCAAAGAGTGTTCTTCCTATGTTTTCCTCTAAGAGTTTTATAGTGTCCGGTCTTACACTTAGGTCTTGAATCCATTTTGAGTTTATTTTTGTGTATGGTGTTAGGGAGCGTGCTGATTTCATTCTTTTACATGTACCTGTCCAGTTTTCCCAGCACCACTTATTGAAGAGACTGTCTTTTCTCCATTGTATATCCTTGCCTCCTTTGTCACAGATTAGTTGACCATAGGTTTGTGGGTTTATCTCTAGGCTTTCTATCTTGTGCCATTGATCTGTATTTCTGTTTTGTGCCAGTACCATATTGTCTTGATTACTATAGCTTCATAGTATAGTCTGAAGTCAGGGAGTCTGATTCCTCCAGCTCCATTTTTTTCCCTCAAGACTGCTTTGGCTATTCGAGGTCTTTTGTGTCTCCATACAAATTTTAAGATTTTTTTGTTCTAGTTCTGTAAAAAATGCCATTGGTAATTTGATAGGGATTGCATTGACTCTGTAGATTGCTTTCAGTAGTAGAGTCATTTTCACAACATTGATTCTTCCAATCCAAGAACATGGTATAGCTCTCCATCTGTTGGTATCATCTTTAATTTCTTTCAACAGTGTCTTATAGTTTTCTACATACAGGTCTTTTGTCTCCCTAGGTAGGTTTATTCCTAGGTATTTTATTCTTTTTGTTGCAATGGTAAATGGGAGTGTTTCCTTAATTTCTCTTTCAGATTTTTCATCATTAGTGTATAGGAATGCAAGAGATTTCTGTGCATTAATTTCATATCCTGCAACTTTACCAAATTCATTGATTAGCTCTAGTAGTTTTCAGGTGGCATCTTTAGGATTCTTTATGTATAGTATCATGTCATCTGCAAACAGTGACAGTTTTACTTCTTCTTTTCCAATTTGTATTCCTTTCATTTCTTTTTCTTCTCTGATTGCCGTGGCTAGGACTTCCAAAACTATGTTGAGTAATAGTGGTGACAGTGGACATCCTTGTCTTGTTCCTGATCTTAGAGGAAATGCTTTCAGTTTTTCACCATTGAGAATGATGTTTGCTCCACATAAATTCTTATACATGAATGTTCAGAGTAGTACTACTCCCAATCACCAAAAAGTGGAAACAAGCCAGATGGCCATCATCTGATGAATGGATGAACAGAATGTGGTGCATCCACACAATGGAATATCACTCAGCCTTAAAAAAGAATGAAGCATTTCATGCTACTACATGGAAGAACCTCAAAAATATGATGCTGAGTGAAAGAAGACAGATACAGACGTATGATTCCATTTATATGAGATGTCCAGAACAGGCAAATCCACAGAGACAGAAAGTGAGTTAGTGGTTGCTGGGGGCTGCAGGAAGGGGGATGGGGGGACTGCTAATAAGTACAGGGTTTCTTTTGGAGGTTATAGAAATGTTCTGGAAATAGATAGTGGTGATGGTTGCACAACTCTGTGAATATACTAAAAACCTCTGAATTGTACACTTTAAAAGGGTGAATTTTACAGTATGCATCTCAAATTTTTTTTTTTTTAAAGAGAAACTGGAACAGATCTTTTTCTGAAACCAACAAAAAGTAAGAGAGTTAAAAAGTGAAAAGAAGAGCTAAAGGAACTCACCCCAAACAACCTTATTTCCCCTCAGAATAAAGAACCTTAAAAATGCCCTCAGACTGACACTTCCCAGCAGCACCCACCCTCAAACCCCGGTCTGGATGGGTCACAATATGCTACGCCCCCTGGTACTCACCCACACCCGTGGCACAGAGAATGCCTCGTTCTGCTGTCATCAGCTCTTCTCTTGGCCCCACCTGGGAGACCAGACAGGCTTTGCAGAATGGAGTCCCTGCTGGTGGAGAAAAACATATGTGCTGAGGGAAGGGAGGGCTTGCAGAGGAAAATAAATGCTTCCCCTGCCGGCCCGCCCTCCACCTGGACTTCAGCTCCTGACCCCGAGCAAGTACATGGGGTACCTAAGTGATCACATCCAGTTTTTAATGAACTCAGTGAGGTTCTTTCACAAGGGCCCAAACTACAAACGCTCCCTCTCTGCCCCATGGAAGTGAGGTTCTCTAAGTCCCAAAGCCCAAGGTCAAGGTCAGTGAGACCCACACGAGTGACTATGGAGAGAATTAAGTAAAAGCAATGCATGGAGCTGTTATCCTGCGGAAGCCCGTGAACTGGAAACCCACACTATATCACTGTGGTCACGTGGCAGGCACTTAAAAAGCATTTGCATACAGGAAGGACCGGAGTAGCACCAGCCTTACCCCGGGGGGCCAGGGTCCTGCAGTTGTCCAGCAGCACGTATCTGCAGAGATTCCTCCGAGCGTCATCCAGCAATGCCCACTCCTGGATGAGCCCCACTGCCACATCCTCCAAGGTGACTGATTCCTAAGACAGTACACATATTCCGGCTCAGCAAGGACCACCCTCACCATTCTGCAGGATGAGGGGTTATCCCTGGGGAAGGTAGACCCAATGCAAGAACATTCAGAGAGTGTTCTCTCCAAAGCAGGGCTTAGCAAACCCGGCCTGCCTCCTGTTTGTCTGAATAAAGTTTTACTGGCAAACAGCCACACCCGTTTGTTTATCTCTATGGCAGTTTTTGTGCTACAAGGGCAGAATTGAGGAGTTGCTGGGACAGAGCTCATATGGCACACCCAGCAGAAAATACTGACTTTCTTTTAACATTTGGACAGATCCAAAAGTATAAACTTTGGCTCTCTGTCACTCCACTAACCAGTGATGGCGGAGCCTGTTCTTCTCAGCATTACAGAGATTTTCCTAAACTCCCTATTTAAGACATCAAAAGTTTGGGTTTGATCCTTTAATTTTCATGAAGTCCCTAGGATGCCGCCCAAGACATAGATAAGCATTTAGTCATTTTTTATGCTTGTTAAAATAGGACTTCCATTGCATCTGAGAAACTTGATGGCCTTTTAATCTCAGAATTCTCTACAACAGCACTGACTGGTAAAGCTCAATGGGAATGTTCTATGTCTGCACTTTCCAAAAAGGCAGCCACTGGCACGTGTGGCTACTAAGCACTTGAGAAATGTACTTTGGGTGACTGAGTAACTGAGGTTTTAATTTTGTTGGATTTTAATTAATTTTAATTTTACTGTATAGAGCCATGTGTTTTTGGTAGGTCTCATGAGCGATGGCAGGGATGGCCCTGGAGCTCTGCTGCTGCCAGCTCTAAATGAGCCCCGCACTGCAGTCAGACTCTGGAATTAGGCACAGAACCCCAGGGTCGCTTTGGGAACCCTCCACCCAAACCAGTTTCCACCAGACGTCATGTACTGAAAGAGGTTGCCAGGTCCTGGGGACGGTGCTAAAGATGCCCCACACTTCCCTCTTCTTTCTTCCTCAGTTGGGAGGCAGGCAGAGAGGAGACAGGGCCCAGAGTACATAATTATTCCCCCCTCAACCATCCTAACCACCCCCTTCCCCCTCACCATGACACCAGCGCCAGGGTTTAAAGTTTCCGTAGGTGTCCTTCCTGCAATAAGAGAGACAGAGGTAAAAGAAGAAATGAGAGTGGAAGCAGAACACCAAGCAGGGGTTTGCCCAGGTAATTCCATTTCTGTGGACCACCAGCAGGGCGGCCAAGCGAAAGATGCTTACCCGGAAATTATCTCAATAAGGAACATATTGTGCCCCGAGCCACCTTTCACACCACAGGCCCTGACCACTTCTACTGGCTCCAGTCACCTAATAAAAGGATCATTTCTCCTCTTATCCTCCCTGAAAACACCTCTAGCATCCTCTACACTTCCTCCACTGCCCTTATCAAGTTGCGATTTTTTAATATGTATTTGTATAGGTAAGTTTGCCTCTCTCTCTCCAACCACGATGTAAACTCTCGAAGTATAGACCTGTGTCCACTTTTTTCAGGACTCCAAATCCTGCCACCAGAACAGCACTTGATAAGTACTAAGTACTTTATGTACTAGGGGCTGGCAAACTTTCTGTAAAAGACCAGACAGTAAATATCTTAAAATTTGTGGGCCACATGTATGGCAACTATTTAACTGTGGTTATAGCACAGAAACAGCCACAGGGAACACATAAACACGTGTCCCAATAAAACCTTATTAATAGAAACCAGCTCCGGGGCAGGTTTGCCCACAAGTCAGTTTGCCAAGCCCTACTCTATATCATGTGGTAGAGAGAATACATTGAGCACCAAATTCTCTCAGTTCTACCTCTTATGCATCGCAAACATTCCAACTTTTTCGATTCCACGATCACCACCAAGCCCCAACTTTTCCAACTCCACAAGCGTCTGAGTCCTGAACTAACCCAAGTCGCTCTATGTGTGGACTTTGCATTCATTCTTGTCCATCCTAAACACCATGCTCAACCCAGGAGTTGGTGGTTTGTTTCAATCACAAACAAAATCATATTACTCCCTACTTAAAACTCTGATTCAGTGGCTTCCCATTGGCCTTAGAACAAGGTCCAAAGTTTACCATGGCCTTCACGGCCCTGCCCTCCTCTCCTCCTGGCTTTTCCATTCGGTACTTTGTCTTCTGTGTTTTAGCTTTACGCTATCTTTTCTCAGCTCCTGGAATACACCAGGCTTTGTACTGCCTCAGGGATTACGCCTCCCCCGTTCTTTCAAATCTCCTCCCCACTCTGACTCCACAGCCTGACCCCTGTCTAGCTACATAAAACTCATCTTTTAAGTTCAAACACTTGTCCTGTTCAAGATATTTTTGCTGATATCCTCCTCAAGTTCCCCTGTTCTGTGTTTCTACATCACCCTTGTCATTATTAATTTAAAATCTGTCTTCCCAGCTAGAATAAAACCTCCACAGGGGCAAGCATTAGATCTATTTCAGTCACATTGTTTCCCCTGTACAGGGCCCGGCTCATTTAGGGCACCCCCAATGAAAATATGCCAAACAATCAACACTCCTCAAGAATAACTCAATATAGTTAGACTAAGAAGGCATGTGCCCACATGCACACTCACACACTCACACACACACACACACACACACAAAGACAACACCACAAGTCAAAAATAAAAATGACTTAAAATGCCTGTTCATATAACAAAAATCACAACACTAGATTTCAGCTGTCTTTAAGAAACGTTAACTCTTTCTAAAAAGGCAAGGTGGGACATGAATCCTCTCTAAAAACAAACACCACACTCATCAAATTGAAATCTGATGCTTAATTTTCCTCCAGAATTAATTTTTTCCCCATTTCTCATTAGAAGTGAGTCTTAACCCTATGATTTAAAAAAGACATCCCATTTACTGCCAACTCAATTTCAATTCCCGGTACTAACAAAGTTTATGTTCTTTTTCCCGGAGTCCCATTTTTTGAAGCTTTATGGTGATTTACAGGCTGGAGCCAACTTGAAAATAACTGAATAGTCTTACTTTTCTTTGATGTTAATAAGACTTGTGACATAAGTGAGAAATAGCTTTTATTAGGACATGCTCCCCTTACAGTTAAGAAAACTGATACAAAGTCAAAGTTAGAAGGGAGGGAGGGAGGGAGGGAGGGGAAAGGAAAGGAAAAGGAAAAGAAAGCTAAGTTAACAGGGCCTAAGGTAAGCAAGTGCAAATTGTCAGTCACCAACTAATTCATCCCTTGATAGAGGGTACATTCCATTTTTTAAATTCACATGCCAAGTCACTCAAACCAGTTTGCACATGTAGACTCAGACCTAAATTTCCATTTGCAGAGCTAGATAACCTGAAACGTAATATGAAATAAAACGTGATTTATTAATAAACAGTTATCCTGCATATGGGAGATACGGTAGGCCAACAAATCGGGGAAGACGGGTGAGTGCTGGGGCCGGCTGGTGTCACCACTTCTTAGCTGCGGGACCTGGTCTGTACTTCGTGACTTCCCCTTCAATAGACGGATGACAGTCCTGTTGGCCCGAACAAGGGGTACCTGAGAGCGACAGACCGAACAGGGGGAGCCCGGCTGCAGAGCCGAGCTGTGCGGGCCCCATCCCGGCCCCGGGGTTACCGCGGGGAGGAAGCACCTTGGCCCGGGCAGCCGTCCTAGACCCTCCGGCCCCTCCTCGCGCCCGCCGAGCCCCCCCCACCCCGCCCTCCCGAGGGGCCTGGCCGCACCTGCAGAACGGCCGGAGACACTCCCACCGCAGCGCGCCGTGCGGCCCCGTACAGCCGCCACCATCCGCCGCCGCTGCGCACTTCTGCTTCCGGTGTCAGGGCCGCTGGGAGCGGAAGTGGTCCGGGCACCGGCCCTCAGGGCCAGAGGACCACCGGGCAGTGGCGGAAAGGTTGACTCCTTCATCCAACCTTGGAGGAAAAATTCTAGTTTCCTTCCCCAGAGCTGCAGGCGAGGTTAAGCTATGAGGTGAGGTCTGACCGAACCTAAAGAGTGGGGTTGGAGCGGGGTGTATGCCGACTGGTCGGGGCTAAGGACAGAGCTGAAGCCCGATGGGCGGGGATTGGGGCAGGGCCAGGGCTTGGTGGGCGGGATAGAGGCGGGGCCTCGCTGGCTCGTTGGCACGCTCGACGTTCTACTTTCCTCTCTCCCTTCCTTCCCCACCACCCTGCCCCGCCCGGCCTTCTGCTTTGCCTAAACCCAATGCCCAGCAAAAACATACCCATAAGTGAGATTTTTTTGTTCAGAATTTCTGATTTCTTCAAAAAATAAGATTATATATTCTACTTCTTCTACAATTTGCCTTTCTCACTAAAAATAAGATGTGAAAATCTATTCAAGGCATTAGGTAGATCTGTTCTTTTTAAAATTATGTATTTGTTATGTCATACAGATAATACATACATACAGGAAAAGTTCAAATGGGGGATCTCCCTCCATCCCTAAGTTTTCCTCCCCAGAAACAACCACTGTGACCAGTTCCCTGATATCGTTTATATTTCAAGCACCGCGTGTATTATTTCTCTCAATAAGTAACCTACAGAGCATCAGTTGATTGCTACATGCTAAGGTTACAAAGCCCTTTCCTGCAAGGGTGCTACAAGTGGAGGATTGGAGGGAAGATGTGGAGAGAGAGATCAGATTGATCCATTCCAATAAAACTAACTTAACACATTGTCATATGTGATGTATTAGCAGAATGTTTTTAACTGATAAGGAGCTGTGGAAGAGAAATAAAGAAATTTGGCATAGTTGGTTGAAAGTAGCTCTTAAAGGATGAATATCAAGTCATGGAGAATGGTTAGTGCAGTGGGTGAGAAATGTTGCAACTTGGGGGTATAGTGTGAGCAAAAACACAGAGGCAAGGGGGAAATACATGTTCTGGGAACACTGAATAATGAGTTATGGCTAGAGAGTAAAGCTCTTTGTGTGTGTTACTGTCACAGGAAATACACAAATAGATCAAAGAAACAATAGCTCAGAAGCAGACTCAGGCATATATGGACTATTAGTATGGGTTAGGGGGTAGTATTCAAATCAATGGGGGAAGGAGGCAGTTGGGACAATTGGCTAAAGGATTAAGTTCTTAGATCCCCATTTCACATCATTCACAACAATAAATTCCAGGAAGACTGACTCAAACTTAAAAAAAGAACTTTAAGATATTAGATGAAAGTATAGGAATAGTATTCCTAACAGATTTTGCTTTATATTTTTCAAAGGTATGGTATCAGTTGCATAGCCCAATGGTTAAGAGTACTGGTTTTTGATACTTAACTAGCCAACCTGTGACCTACCTAATTTCTCTGTGCCTCAAGTTTCCTAAACTGTTGAGTGGGGGCAATAATGAGATTGCACTGAGGATTGGATGATATAATGCCTGTATGCAAAACACTTATCATAATACCTGACATGTTATAAGTGCTCAATAAATATTGGCTACTATCATTATAGTTTTTGATGACATAACCTTATATCAGTATAAAATCTCCCCCTCTTCCCTTTTTAAAATTGGCCTTTAATTTTAGTCTAACATTGCCATAACATCTTGCTCTTGTTGTTAGTATTTGTCTGATATGTCTCTTGTTTTCAACCTCTTTGTCTTTGTCTCTTAATTGATGTTTTTTAATAAATAGTACATAGCTAAAGAAACAAAAGAAAAAGAAAAAAGAAATAGTACATAGCTGGATTTTGTTTTTTAACGAAGTCTGAAAGTAACTCTCTTCTAACAGGGGAACTTAATCCACTTACATTTAATGTGATTATTGATATGTTTAATGTACTTTTGCCACCTTATTTTACATTTATCTTATGTTTTCTATTTATCATGTGTGTTTCTTGTATGTTGATTGAGCCAGTTCTCTTTTTTCTTAATTTTATTTTTTTATACAGCAGGTCCTTATTAGTCATCAATTTTATACACATCAGTGTATACATGTCAATCCAAATCACCCAATTCATCACACCACCACCACCACCACCACCACCACCGCCGCTTTCCTCTCCTTGGTGCCTATACGTTTCTTCTCTACATCTGTATCTCAATTTCTGCCCTGCAAACCGGTTCATCTGTACCATTTTTCTAGGTTGCACATATATGCGTTAACATACGATATTTGTTTTCATCTTTCTGACTTACTTCACTCTGTATGACAGTCTCTAGATCCATCCACATCTCTACAAATGACCCAATTTCGTTCCTTTTTATGGCTGAGTAATATTCCATTGTATATACGTACCACATCTTCTTTATCCATTCGTCTGTCGATGGGCATTTAGGTTGCTTCCATGACCTGGCTATTGTAAGTAGTGCCGCAATGAATATTGGGGTGCATGTGTCTTTTTGAATTATGGTTTTATCTGGGTATATGCCCAGTAGTGGGATTGCTGGATCATATGGTAATTCTATTTTTAGTTTTCTAAGGAACCTCCATACTGTTCTTCATAGTGGCTGTATCAATTTACATTCCCACAAACAGTGCAAGAGGGTTCCCTTTTCTTCACAGCCTCTCCAGCATTTGTTGTTTCTAGATTTTCTGATGATAACCATTCTAACTGGTGTGAGGTGATACCTCATTGTAGTTTTGATTTTCATTTCTCTAATAATTAGTGATGTTGTGCAGCTTTTCATGTGCTTCTTGACCATCTGTATGTCTTCTTTGGAGAAATGTCTATTTAGGTTTTCTACCCAATTTTGGATTGGGTTTTTTGTTTTTTTAATATTGAGCTGCATGAGCTGTTTATATAGTTTGGAGATTAATCCTTTGTCCATTGATTTGTTTGCAAATATTTTCTCCCATTCTGAGGGTTGTCTTTTCATCTTCTTTATGGTTTCCTTTGCTGTGCAAAAGCTTTGAAGTTTCATTAGGTCCCATTTGTTTATTTTTGTTTTTATTTCCATTACTCTAGGAGGTGGATCAAAAACGATCTTGCTGTGATTTATGTCAAAGAGTGTTCTTCCTATGTTTTCCTCTAAGAGTTTTATAGTGTCCGGTCTTACTCTTAGGTCTTGAATCCATTTTGAGTTTATTTTTGTGTATGGTGTTAGGGAGCGTGCTGATTTCATTCTTTTACATGTACCTGTCCAGTTTTCCCAGCACCACTTATTGAAGAGACTGTCTTTTCTCCATTGTATATCCTTGCCTCCTCTGTCATAGATTAGTTGACCATAGGTTTGTGGGTTTATCTCTGGGCTTTCTATCTTGTTCCATTGATCTGTATTTCTGTTTTGTGTCAGTACCATATTGTCTTGCTTACTGTAGCTTTGTAGTATAGTCTGAAGTGAGGGAGTCTGATTCCTCCAGCTCCGTTTTTTTCCCTCAAGACTGCTTTGGCTATTCGAGGTCTTTTGTGTCTCCATACAAATTTTAAGATTTTTTTTTTCTAGTTCTGTAAAAAATGTCATTGGTAATTTGATAGGGATTGCACTGAATCTGTAGATTGCTTTGGGTAGTATAGTCATTTTCACAATGTTGATTCTTCCAATCCAAGAACATGGTATATCTCTCCATCTGTTGGTATCATCTTTAATTTCTTTCAACAGTGTCTTATAGTTTTCTGCATACAGGTCTTTTGTCTCTCTAGGTAGGTTTATTTCCAGGTATTTTATTCTTTTTGTTGCAATGGTAAATGGGAGTGTTTCCTTAATTTCTCTTTCAGATTTTTCATCATTAATGTATAGGAATGCAGGAGATGTCTGTGCGTTAATTTTGTATACTGCAACTTTACCAAATTCATTGATTACCTCTAGCAGTTTTCTGGTGGCATCTTTAGGATTCTTTATGTATAGTATCATGTCATCTGCAAACAGTGACAGTTTTACTTCTTCTTTTCCAATTTGTATTCCTTTCATTTCTTTTTCTTCTCTGATTGCCGTGGCTAGAACTTCCAAAACTATGTTGAATAATAGTGGCGAGAGTGGACATCTTGTCTTGTTCCTGATCTTAGAGGAAATGCTTTCAGTCATTGAAAATGATGTTTGCTGTGGGTGTGTCGTATATGGCCCTTGTTATGTTGAGGTAGGTTCCCTCTATGCCCACTTTCTGGAGAGTTTTTATCATAAATGGGTGTTGAATTTTGTCAAAAGCTTTTTCTGCATCGATTGAGATGATCATATGGTTTTTCTCCTTCAGTTTGTTAATATTGTGTATCACATTGATTGATTTGTGTATATTGAAGAATCCTTGCATCCCTGGGATAAATCCCACTGAATCACAATGTATGATCCTTTTAATGTGTTGTTGGATTCTGTTTGCGAGTATTTTGTTGAGGATTTTTGCATCTATATTCACAGTGTTATTGGTCTGTAATTTTCTTTTTTTGTAGTATCTTTGTCTGTTTTTGGTATCAGGGTGATGGTGGCCTCATGGAATGAGTTTGGGAGTGTTCCTTCCTCCACAATTTTTTGGAAGAGTTTGAGAAGGATGGGCGTTAGCTCTTCTCTAAATGTTTGATAGAATTCACCTGTGAAGCCATCTGATCCTGGACTTTTGTTTGCTGGAAGATTTTTAATCACAGTTTCAATTTCATTACTTGTGATTGGTCTGTTCATATTTTCTATTTCTTCCTCATTCAGTCTTGGAAGTTTATACCTTTCTAAGAATTTGTCCATTTCTTCCAGATTGTCCATTTTATTGGCGTAAAGTTGCTGGTAGTAGTCTCTTAGGATTCTTTGTATTTCTGCGGTGTCTCTTGTAACTTCTCCATTTTCATTTCTAATTTTATTGATTTGAGTCCTCTCCCTCTTTTTCTTGATGAATCTGGCTAATGGTTTATCAATTTTGTTTATCTTCTCAAAGAACCAGCTTTTGGTTTTATTGATTTTTGCTATTGTTTTCTTTGTTTCTGTTTCATTTATTTCTGCTCTGATCTTTATGATTTCTTTCTTTCTGCTAACTTTGGGTTTT